TTGCATCTGATGGTGTTTTTAGCTTCAAACAAACCACACTTCTTTTTACGTGTCTTCACCTTTGTATTTTTGTGCCTCATTCTAACTGATAACTTGCTTTCCAGGATAAACTGGCTATAGGAAGCTATGTAAAGAAAAAGGGTGAGATGTTCTGGGAGAGAACAGTGTAAATTTTACTTCTACTAGCCATTTTCATCACAATCAATATTTTATATTGGTATAAGTAACAATCCATAATGTCTTTAAGGAATTCATCCACTTCCAGTTTTATAATATATCAAGGAAATGTTCTTCCTTTTTAGCTCTAATTAACAGTCACAAGATTAACGTGTTACTACATATATTTTGATATATATGATTGAGACATGATTGTATATAAACTATACATATACTTATATGTGCATATATACACAAATGGCACTTGTTATGTCAGAGCTTTGGGATTAAATAATTTAATAATTAAATTATTAAATTAATAATGCATTACTTGGCCATCAAGTAGAATAGCTATTTATATGACTTAAAGCATTAATTTATCCTGAACACTTTGTTAATAAGATGTCACTTAAGCACAAAAGAGGTTAAGGTTTATTAAGTGATTCATTTAGAATTTTTTTTTAACTCACTGAAAGTTTTATCAGAGTTTAAATCATTTCTGCTCACTGGTGCTTTGTCATCATGAACCTCCAGTTTCATGATGGACTTGTTATTTCTGGTCAGGGATATGTCATCCATGTGGATGACCTTTCTTGAAGGGGACTTAAATAATTCACTTGTCTTGATATTCATTTTACAGCATTAGGGATACTTTAGCATCTGAGATTCTGAATCTGAACCCCAAGGTTATTGCACATTCAAGATTAGCATTCAAATGAGAAAAGCAAATGAATTTAAATATATCAAATAGAAGTTATGACAAAACATGGCTGCACTCAGGACATTGACAGTTATAAAAATTGTAGGATCTGAGAAAGCATGACTTGTGCTTCTTTCTGCCTATAGACCTTGATGAGTGCTCCGAGAACCTGAATCTCTGTGGGAATGGCCAGTGCCTCAATGCCCCTGGAGGGTACCGCTGTGAATGTGACATGGGCTTCGTGCCCAGTGCCGACGGAAAGGCCTGCGAAGGTAACTGCTGAAGAAGCTGCTGGGAATCTTGCAGAACTCCATGAGATTGGGTTATCTTAACACTTCTGGTGCTTTTCTTTTTTAAAAACTGAGGTTTGTTGGGGCTTCACATCTATCTAAGTTGGTCAGTTCAGTTTGTGGAGGGGTTAGGTCTCCAGCTGGACCATTTCTCTTTGGGCAGAGAAAAATGTCTGCTGTCTTGCCATAAGCTACACATCCAGTCTTGGCCAATGGTCTGCAGGAGTATACCATCAGGAATAAGAAAAAGAGAATAGCCAAATGTAACTAACCCAGTGAGACTCAACTGTTTCTAATGCTGGGGGAAAAGAACTCAGAGTAACATTAGGTCCCTTAGTGTGCTGTTGGAGGATTATCTTTATAAATGCAGTTGTCAATTTCTACCGTGGTTTGGTTTCTAGAAATAAAGCCTTTAAAATAATGACAGAGCAGATAGTCTTCTCCTTATACAAAATAATGACCTGAGGATATTCTCAGAACATTCTCTAAACATCTAACATATATGAACATGGAGTATTATTTTGCAAACCTGCTCAGTAAAGAACCCCTGGACTAATGCCATGTGTCATGGTGTCCCTAAGCTCCAGACTCTGTCTTTCTGTGAAATGTGGGTCAAACAGGACCCCAGGGACCTGTTGGCTAAGGATAAATTCAGTTAGGAAACTAAGATTCTTCTCTTTACCCACACTTAAAAGTTTAAAGCACATTATTTTTCTTTGAAAATAACTAGTGACTACAATGAATTAAAAAGAGTTCAGTAGAAATAAACAAGTGATAATAACATTTGGAAGTTTAAACAAGGTCCTGATTAATGTATTAGCTAATAGTCATTGCTTGTTAACAAGATGTGAACTCAGAATCAGTCTTCAGCTATAATATCTATACCAATTTCTTCATGTATTTCTATGAACATACTTCATTTTGTTATGGAACCATTGGGTTCTTTGTACAGCTTATATTTAATATGCAGAGTTGATGTAAGACTCCTCTGAGGCAAGAAACTAGATTATGTTCTTGATCATGTGCCTGATGCCTTGTTTACTTTTGTTACTCCAAATATCCAAGGAAAACAGGTACTGAGCCACCTTTGGTAACACAAATAGTCACGGTAAAAGTTTTGCTTCTTTTAATGCTATAAGGGAAAGTTTTGTTTGTTTGTCCATAATATAAATCACCACTGGCAGAGTAGTCATGGCTATTTAAAGTCAGTCTCAAGTCTGAAAATGTGCCCAGGTAACAATTGAATAAGCAGATATTAATGTGAAGCAGGGCAGAGGTCTGGAAGGGGTATCCGCAGTTTTTAGCTGTCTATAAATACCAAGCACATACCATAGTACTAGGGGCAAGGATTATAAAGCTGGTTATAAAAGTTATCACAAAGAAAAGACTTTGTGATGCTTAAAATTTAATCTCACAACAAAAGCAGCATATAGATAGATAAGAACGACCAAAGAATTTAGTCTCCCATGACCTGTTTAGCTCAGGTAGACTTCATTTTCCCAACACTGATATCATTTGCCTAATTATAGTAGGCAGTTTCTTTAGCAAAAAATAAATCTAACTTCTCCCTTTTTTACTCCTCCCTCAAGATATTGATGAGTGCTCCCTTCCAAACATCTGTGTCTTTGGAACTTGCCACAACCTTCCTGGCCTGTTCCGCTGCGAGTGTGAGATAGGCTATGAACTGGACAGAAGTGGTGGAAACTGCACAGGTAAGACATCTGTTATCATGGCTGGCTCCCGGGTGTCCCAGGGAACCCTACAGTTGGGGCCATCATTGGGACCATACAAGGCTAGTCAGAGAAGAAAACTAAAGCAGGGTGAGGGAACAGGAACCCAGACTACGTATTCTCAGACTCGGAACTGATTAAATGTGAAGATGCAGAGGAAAGAGTCAAAGACAGGAAGGAACAGAGCTCAAAGCCTTACAATTGCTCTTCTGGCTGTGGAGGAATGTGCGGTGTGCTCCAGCCATATGGCTTCCCAGCCATTTCTTTTTCTTCATGGGTGCATTTTCAGAGTTACCTTCAGACGGCCATGCTCTAGGATCAAGGGTTTTCTCCTTGGACTTTTCCATTGCAATACCTACTTCTTCCCATCCCTGCCCCTGACAGTGGTCACCAGAGTGCTGATACAGAGAGCCCAGCTACCCATTTCTAATGTATGAGACATTTCCTTGAAGAACAAGGACTCTCAGGGAATATAAGGAAAAAAATTAGAAAAGCCACAAGCACCCAGCAGATTGCCTTTAGTCCTCTTTGGCAGTGACAGCCATTTGTAATTCTCCTGATCCACCCTTCTGTTCAAGGGTATTGAGGAAATAGATCCCGTTCTGTAGGAGTTTAGGAGTCAGGAGAATTTTTTTTTTCCTAGCCACCTAAACAAGCCATGACTCAGTGGCTCTCCAGATCAAGACCACTACCACCACCACCACCTCCCCACAAATGCTATGGACTCAAGTATTCCTCCCTAGGCCCACATCTTCTCTAGGCATATATCCTACTTTTATAAGCAGTAGGATGACACCAATCAGGCCTCTAGAAGACCTCAGGAAGTCACCTCTCCATGGTGCATGCCCTCTCTTCAACCTCAGTCCCTGTCAGCATCATTATAACCTTGTTTCTCTTGGCCTGACCCTGTCCATCCAAATTTATGTGAGATTTGAGCTAAAGAATTGTTTGTTTGGGAACCCATGGGGGTTACCAGTTCCACAGGGAACACCCAAGGATAAGGTGTCCCCAGTCCCCAACGTCTCTTCTCTGAATCCATTTACCCAGTGTTGATTATTTCCTAAGTGTTCAAAAGAGACAGAAGGATTGTACAGGGGTGGTATTTGCCAAAACCCATGTCCTAAATATCTGGAACACTGTACAAATTTTTGGAATAGAAATTGAAAGGGAAACATTCAACTCAGCATCAATAATGAGAGAGAGACTCTTTGCAGACTTGAAGACACACTCTAAGCCCCATGCGTTTATGTGGAAGAAACAGCAGAAATTACCTGCTCCAGAGAGTTCTCTGGGACATCTTGCTCTAATTTGACAAAATAACAAGCCACACATATTAAATATATTTTTTCAAAACCTGTGTCTGAAATTTTGGTTAACTGAGGTCACAGCAATGTTTTGCCTTCGGTTACCTTCACTGGAATATTTTTTGCTAGTTCCAAAGTTATATTTTATCCTGATGACAAGTTTGGATAGTCAATATGTTCTAGGGGTGGGGGGAGATCAAAGACCATGACATATTTCCTTCCTGAGGGGTTTTATTTCAGAAGTGGAGGATGACATTTCTAGGTGTAATTACAACTAGTGACTCTTAAAAGTTCTTGTTGGGAGCCCTAGACTGGGTGGTGTGGTTTATGGTGATGTTGGCCCCACATGGACTCACTGGTAATTCTGGCCCTGGCTATTTGGTTTTAGATGTTAATGAGTGTCTGGATCCAACCACGTGTATCAGTGGGAACTGTATCAACACTCCGGGCAGCTATACCTGTGACTGTCCACCTGATTTTGAGCTGAATCCAACTCGAGTTGGCTGTGTTGGTAAGATCTTAAAAATCTTTTCAGAGGTGCAGGCTGTTTATTATGTTTAAACAGCACTCAACATCCTATTTTTAAAATTTGCAAAATAATAATATAGAAAATTCCTATTATATATTCTTGGACATGTTTTAGTTTCTAAGTAAAAGGAAGTCAGGGTTTTTCAACAGTTTAGGAAATGAGTTTAAATTTTCAACCCTCAAGAAGAAAGAATCTGCATGACACTTTTTCGTTTATATACGGTAAATAGATACCCGCTCAGGAAATTGCTATTTGGATATTCGGCCCCGTGGAGACAACGGAGATACAGCCTGTAGCAATGAAATCGGAGTTGGTGTTTCCAAGGCTTCCTGCTGCTGTTCTCTGGGTAGAGCCTGGGGTACTCCCTGTGAGCTGTGCCCTCCTGTGAACACAAGTAAGTGGGCATCCTCCTGTTCCTTATTATTCCAACTCAAGCCAGTTCTCCTTTCTAGACTCACAAAAGAGAGCCTACTTACCAAGGGAGGGAGCACCTGTAGTCTTTATGCCTCCATCAGGAAAGGGCGATCATGTTCTCGCCCCATGGAGGGACCTCATTCCCTACTTGGGAGTAAGAGAGTGCCCCCTTTGTCTTTCACTAAAAGCTCAGGTGCAACAGGGAGTGTCTCATTTCTCTCTGCTGAAAATCAGGCAGATAGCATGGCTTAAAGATTTTCCAGGTGAGGTTGCTCTTCCCAATTGCTTCCCTTCCAGGGACACATGGGTTGATCTCTCCTCTTCTTATCTGTCGGGTAGTTTGGGAAACTCTGGAACAGACTCAGAGTATCCCTGGGCAAAAGAGAAATAATTAGTTAAGCAACTATTAAATGGAAGATTATTCCATTCTTAGGATGGGACTTGAAAGAAAGCTCTCAAATGTGATTTTTAAAACATAAATAATACATCTCCAAAATAAATAAATAAAAGGACTTTCTGTTTTTCTAAGTGAGTCCTGTATTACAATTCAGTCATATGCCGCTTCTTTGGCAAAAGTCAGAGTCTGCTGCTTATGGGAGGTATTGTAGGAGTCACTCAATTTTTTCCTTGCAGAAAGGTCACTTATTCGTTTCTTCTGAAAATGTTTGTCAAGTACCTGTAGCACCTATTTTGAAGGTTCAAAGATGAATTAGACTAGATCCTGCATCTTCCAGGAATGTGCAGCTTAATAGGCAAAATATTACCCAAACATCAGAGCTATAGTCTAACATAAGTCTCAAAAATAGAAGAAACAAGAGCAGACATGGCCAAAGAGCACACCAAGTTCAAATTAGAACTCTACCACTTGCTTCCATGTAACCCTGGGCAAGTTACTTAGCATCATAGAATACCTCCTAGGATAAAGTCCCCAGCATGGGCCCCAGAGCTTAGCAGGCACTGCCTTCCCTCTTCTTTTCAGAGATATGGATCAGTTCATGTTGGAAAAGAGGACTGATAACTGTGCAATTTTATTTTGAGCCTTTGATTTAAAGAACCGCCCACCCCAAATCTGTATCAAAATTAGAAAGAGAATGTGTACATACTTACACGTATGCACATGGTACATATGATTTCAGAAAGCCAGGACAGGGATGATCAGGAAGGACCAGCATGATTATGAAAAGATGGTGCTGCCAATTAGGGTCACTCTTATTCGTGTGTTCTTATATGTATCACAGTGCCGGTGCATGGCACTGGAATAAATGTTTCTGAGTGGAAAACCTGGAGGAATGGAGGAATGGTGGAATAAAAGACACTGTAGAAAGTTGCTTTTGGAAACCAGGAGAATTAATATTGCCATCTGTAGAAATAGAGGGGGTAAGAAAGAGCTCTAGGTATTGAGCAGGACAGTGGGCTGGGAACCCAAAGAGTCACTTTTACCTAAGCTCTGTTTAGAAAAGGTATTGGAGACAGGCTGAGGAACACTACTAATGGGAGTTGTGATTCTAGGGAAGAAAAGCTGAGTAGAACATATAAATGGAGATGAGTTTCTTGGAAAATAAAAAGGAAAAGAGAACATTTTAAAAGAAATAGTGATGGAGATAAGGAACAAAATGGTTCAGAAGAACATAAGGACTCTAGTCACTAGAGGGTCCCAAGACTGAGGACACTGGCAACTACCCTTAGAAAATGACCAGTGTGCACTAAGATGATAACTTACTTCAGCTGGGTGGAGTGAGGGCTAAAGCTTCCTGAGAGTGAATATTTCAGTTCATTTCTCTTAAGAATATTATTTCTAGAAATTTTAGATTTGAGATAACTCTCTTCAAATTTTTTGTTTTAATAGCTGAGTACAAAATTCTGTGCCCTGGAGGAGAAGGCTTTCGCCCAAACCCTATCACCGTAATACTGGAAGGTAATTCTTTTTCCTTCATCCTAAAATGTGCACATTTTGAATTTCCTTGGATATATTTACAATGCTGAAGAAATTCTTTTGTTTTCTTTTGATAGACATTGATGAGTGCCAGGAGCTGCCAGGGCTGTGCCAAGGGGGAAAGTGTATCAACACTTTCGGCAGTTTCCAGTGCCGCTGTCCAACGGGCTACTACCTGAACGAGGACACCCGAGTGTGTGATGGTAAGTGGCCCCATAGGAAGACATGATCTTTCAAATAGTGAGAACTCGCCTGAAAAACCAGAGTACAGTAACCAGGAACTGAGGACTTAGCAACGTAGCACAGTGGTCTAATCATGAACGTAGCCCGGTAAATATGCCACACATGTGGTCACTTGCACTAATGTTACTGAAATGATGTCATTTCCAGTAAGTCCTAAAGCTCCTTCTTTTCCTGAGAAAAGTGGAGTTTTATTATGCTGGGCCATAGTCCCACTTATGCCTACAAAACAGTTTTCCATGGTCCTCAGCAAAGCTACTTAATGAGAGTAGCACAGGCCCCATTTCAGTAGCCTATGTTACTTAGATGAGATGTGCACTTAGATGAGATTCTTTCGGAAAGCTTTGGCTTCATGATACTGCTGACAGCTCTGCAGCCCTTCTTCACCTCTATTACTGGGAAAATGGAGAATATTGACCATTTTACGGTTTTAGAGCACTTGAGCCATGGACCAGGGCAAGAGCGGTGGGTTGAGAGTCACATGAGTAGTTAGGGAAGAGAAGTCCTTGTGTTCTGTATAAGAAAAGTTCCCCTGGCTCTCCCAAAGTCTCCACAGGACCATGACAACCTCATTAAATTTAAGTTGAGCATCCAGTACATAAGACATAGATCTCAGACTCACTGAGTTAACAAACATCAAATCATCCCCTTTATTTGAATATGGGAAAGGGGACAAAGTACCTGCTTCCATGTCCCCTTACCAGTGGAGATTCCTGAAGCCGGCTGTTGATGGCTTAAGGATATCATTGTCTTTCTGAAGGATATTGAGAATTAGACTTTCTGTATGGTTCCAACTCTGCATGCCTTTGAGGATGTTATGGACTCATTTGTTAGGAATTCTTATCAGAAGGCAGGAGTTCCTTTCTAAAACCTTCTTTCCTGAAATTGCATGCATTTGCATAGATGAAGGACCCTGATGAACTAAACACATGCTTTTCACATCTGGATTATAAAGTGCCCTGTGGATTTTCTCCTTTGTTATGTCAACATTTGTATTGACATTGAGGAGCATGGCCACTTCAGAGAGTGATGTTTTCATATTCACATACCACTTTCTCTTTGGATTATAGATGTGAATGAATGTGACACTCCTGGAATCTGTGGCCCAGGGACATGTTACAACACCGTTGGCAACTACACCTGTATTTGTCCTCCAGATTACATGCAAGTGAATGGGGGAAATAATTGCATGGGTAAGTCTAAGTTTTTCTCAGTTAGGCATGTTTGGTTCTTGTGTAGAAAGCCCAGCAAATGGTTCTGAGTGCTAGACTGAGTGCTGCCATCCTCACTGTCTCATTGAGAGCCTCCTCCCCTGTAAACCGTGAGCTTGGTATTTTTTAGCACCTCGTGTGCGTGGTTGGGAGTTTTCTTTTAAGTGTAATGTTGGAAAATCCCAAACAAAAGTTGAATAGTGCTTCTTTTGTTTGACTTTTGGGTGTATCTTTGTACAATTATATTTACAGCACAGACCTACAGTATTAAAACATTGTGAGTCGGAAATGAGAAACTTACTGCCAAATAGCAGTGGAGAATTGTTACTAGGAGACAGGGTGGAGAGTCATGTAAAGTTTATTAATGCTACAGCCACATAATGACTTAGTTCTGTGGCATAAAATACCAGGGAATACATTCCTCAAAGTCCTTTTCTTGTAACAGTATTGATAGCTAAAATGTTGTGTCTGAGTAGGCTTTTCCTGCCCTTATTAAAGTCAGCTTACAGTACAACTCAAAAGAGCTTTCTCTTTGAGTATCCCCTTAACATGTGTTGTGCTTCCCCAAGGGCATATCCAATCCTTTTTTTTTTTTTTTGGCAGGGGGCAGGGGTTGGTAGTACTGGGGATTGAACTCAGGGGCACTTGACCACTGAGCCACATCCCCAGCCCTATTTTGTATTTTATTTAGAGACAGGGTCTTGTTGAGGTGCTTAGTGCCTCACTTTCGCTAAGGCTGGCTTTGAACTCGTAATCCTCCTGCTTCAGCCTCCCCAGCTGCTGGGATTACAGATGTGGACCACTGTCCCCGACTTCCTATCCTTTTTTCCTTTTCTCTTTTAGATATGAGAAGAAGTTTGTGCTACAGAAACTATTATGCTGACAACCAGACCTGTGATGGAGAGCTCTTATTCAATATGACCAAGAAGATGTGCTGCTGCTCTTACAACATTGGCCGAGCCTGGAATAAGCCCTGTGAACAGTGTCCCATCCCAAGCACAGGTGAACTTTAGCTTCACTACTACTAAAAATAGAGGTTGATCTATCACCCATGAATTGTTAGGAGAAATCAGTCTCAGCAAAGAAATAAAAGTGTGCATGCTCATTTCATAAGGAAAAAATTGATTCACAAAGGCAACTGTTTAGTTCAGAGTTGACTATTATCTATCCAGCTGAAAACTGCAATCACAGAATATGCTTACTAATGTGTACCCTAATTCATAACCAGAACTGTGGACTCAGCATATCACAAAAATATAAACATTGTTATCATTGTTTCAGAGTTCACCATAATAATTAAAAGACTGGAAACAGGCAAACCAAAGTAATAAACAAACCATAACTCTTCTTGTTTTTATGTAATATTCAAAACTAGTCTTATTCCCAAAAGAATTAAGGCCAGTCTACAAAGATGTAATTGTAAAATAAGAAATAACTGTAAGGCAAATGACAAAGAAGAGTAAGAAAATTACACAGGAACAAGGCCAATACACAAAATCCAAACCGGGAATTCCTACACAGTTGCCAGAGATGAGCAGTGACTTTGGTTCCAAACTTCCTAGCAGCTCATTTGAAAAAGGAAACCTGATCAAGTATAAAATCCTCAGTACCTACAAAGCAAATTAAACACTGAAAAAAATGCATCTCTTCTTTATATTGAGACAAGAGAAATTTCTTCTTACATTTTTTTGTAAAGGAAAGAATTATACTATGTCATTCATTTTTAAGTACATTTATTTATTTATTTATTTTTATGTGGTACTGAGGATCAAACCCATCACCTTGCATGTGCTAGGCGAGCGCTCTACCACTGAGCCACAACCCCAGCCCATGTCATTCATTTTTTAAAAGACCCAAATGATATTCTTTAAATAAATATATAAAGTAAAAAAAATTGGTGCAGTATTCTTAAATCATGTGATACATGTTATGCATCAAAGATATTATGATGGGATCATTTGCCAATATTATGATTTGCATTAAATTTAATCCATGCAAGATATTGATTAAAGTATTCTGTAGTACCTATCCCATCCCACACAGTGATATGTAAAATTTTAAATTTATTTTTGGATTCTATCTGATCATTTATGCAACAGAAGATTCTTTTTTACTAAATTATACCATTGTATCCATTGTTTGCTCCAAAAATAATGTAATAACCATCACTTAGAACTGTGATTTACCTCACCTCTCAAAGGGTATCTAGAGCAGGGTTGACCAACTAAAGTTTATGGGCCAATTTCAATCTACCACCTGTATTTGAATGGCCCACAAACTAAGAACAATTTTTACACTTTAAATGGGTGGAAAAATCACAAGAATAATATTTCATGCCATATGCAAGTTACATGTACTTCAAATCTTGGTATCCATGAATAAAATTTTATTAAAACACAACCACACTAATTTATTGACCCATTATCTACAGCTGCTTTCGTGGCAGAGTTAAAAAGTTTTGACAGAGACCATGCGGCTTGCAAAGCCTAAAAATATTTACTCTAGTCCTTTAAGAAAAAGTTTGCTGACCCTGACTGAACAATGGTCTTCAGGATCATATCTTAATGAAAAATCTGGAGGGTATACAAACTTGGCATGTGTGTTTATATATAAAAGTATGTGCATGTATTTGTTTTAAGTTATCTTGAAAATTGCATTTGTTTTTTGAGAACTGTTCCAATATAAATTATACAGAAAATACGTCTTTAGAGAGATCAGATTTTACAAAAATAGAATTCCGACTGTTTTCTATTTTGTCCTAATAGGTCATTTCAATTCTCCTGGAGGCCACTTTGGAAACCCTTGATATAGACAATATTTACTTTCAGAAATGACTGTCTTGAGTTTTAAGAACCTATATATGCATCATTTAAAATTCAAGATTTCTTCTTCATGATAAATATTGGCCAAATCTAGTTTTGGCCTTTCACTAACTCTGAAATTTGCACATATTTTAGGAGTTCTTGTAATTTCTCTGGATGACAAATGTCAGCTGTTGTGGCAGTTGTTCTAAGTGGACACTCATAGTCTAAGAAAATAAAGCACTAGGAGAATAGCATGCTATATGTTAGGATTTTTAAAAATGCTTTAGAGATAGAGTCTCACTATACTGCCCAAGCTGGCCTTGAACTCCTGATATCAAACAATCCTTTGCCTCAGCCTCCCAAGTAGCTGGGATTTACATATGCCACCATGCTTGGCTCAGGCTATTTTCTAATTCAAATAATTCCAGGAAGTTTTTACTCATTTTCTTTAGGCATGACCAGAAAGGCAATGGCCATCTTGGATTTAGACTGATACCATACCTTACCAGTCATGCTTACCTGGAGTTACAAAATCTCCAAGTTAGAGCAGATCACCAATAACATTTAGCTCATCTTTTAATACCAACTTTGATGAATTCAGGGAAGAGAAAGAACAGGAGTACATGAGTGCCATTCTGAGTAAAATCCAGGTCCAAAAACCAAATTAACGATGAGGTTGGTTTATAGACATGAATTGGCCATTAATAGATCTGATGTTAAGAACTTGCCACAATCTGCCTCCAGTCTACTGAGAAAATGGCTTCTGTAAGCATTCCTTGGACCCTATATAGATCCCTCTTTACAGAGTGGAGAGAGGCACTCTTGTCAGTCTCTGGGTTCAGACCTGAACAGTATTCAAATAGAAAGCTCAATTCAGAGGCAGCTCAGAGGAGCCTGTGGCATGCGACATGGAGACTTCTACTTCTCCCTGGTTATCAGTCAACATACCATTCTTCCTTCAGCGTTTGTCTTATAGAGAGAGAGTTACATCTGTAGGAATTTCCAGGTTTACTTCTCGTTGTCAATTCTTCAAAAGAGAGACTATTTCAGTATTGTAATATTGTTTAAAAGTAACTTCTTCCACACCAAACCTTTTGGGAAAAAGAAAAAGTAATTTCTTTCAGCCAATTCTTGCTCTTTTACTGATCCCCACCCCTCCTGTTGTTCAATTATTGCAGATGAATTTGCTACGCTCTGTGGAAGCCAGAGGCCAGGCTTTGTCATCGATATTTATACCGGCTTACCCGTAGGTGAGTTAGGAGACGATGTGCACGTGAGCGTTGTCAGGACTTTCTTTCCTTGTCCTTGTGTTAGAAAAGGGAGTGCATACTGTCATTTTCTGTTTATTTTCTTTGTCTTCTTCTTATTGAAACATGGATTCTCAGTTTGGAATAAGCTGTGCAAACACCCTGTGTTGCTCCACCTAATTGGCAGAAGCATTTGCTGCTCATGATTAAGGGGACTGGAAAGCTTTTTCACAGAATTACAATCAAGCTTAGTTAAACCAAGCCTAGGCATCAACAAAGAGAGAGATTCTGGGAGGATGGCCAGTTGACATTTGATTTGACTGTAATTCCCATTCCTTCCTTCTAAGATGAGTTTACATGAATTTTTCACACCAATACTTTACATGTGGGTTGTTCATGTAAAGTCCTTCTTGTGGATCCAATTTATCTTACATGGGTTCTTCTTGGATCACCTGCTTGGAGAATTTCAGAATTAAACTAAAAATCTTCTCCATCTAAGACCTTGTCTGATAACTGGAACAGAGACCACCACTGTGATAGAGGTGCTTATGTAAGATTCACAAGTATTACACAGCGTTCAGCCAATGTAGGCAGTGCCCTTGTGGTTTAAACCAAATAACATAAAAGTGATGGAAAGCTGTTGTGATCTCAGAGTTTTTCCCTGGTGTGATTTATATGTATCCTTAGATGCCCCTAAGTCTGGGCTGTTGTGTGTGGTAGCAAAGATCACCACTTGCTTTGTTCTACCTTGTTCCTAATAAGTAAACTGAAAACTACATCAGCCTTTCCAATGACCTTGTTTAAGGAAACAAGGATCTGGTCCAGCAATCAGCCTGGCTTCCTTAGTGCCAAATCCATATAGCTCCACAGTCTAGTCAACATCCAAAGAAACTTCATGGTTTGGAAAGAAAAACTGCTAAATGACATTGGCATGAAACACCTGGCCCTAGCTACTTTGTTTTTCCCCTTCTCGAAACAGATCTTTTAATCTCCTTAGAATCTGTGATCAGCAGATAAGTGGTCTTTGGTAGTAATGGTTCTCCATGGGCAGACTAGGCGTGTACTCTAGCAAGACTTGCCCTCCAGGATGGGTAGGAAGCAGCTTGAAACTGCATTAGCATTGTCCACTAGTAGGCTGGAAAGACCTCAAATGCCATCCAGTTCAAATATCTTGCTTTACAATTGAGGGCCCAGAGGCCCAGAGAGGGAAATGGACTCATCCAAGGCCACCTAGCTAATTAATAACAGAGCTGGGACCTGAACCCAGCCCTGACTCATGGCTTGCTTTGCCTCCAGCTCTTGAAAACTGGAAACATGGTATTTAGCAATATGCTTACTGTTACCAAATTCCATCAATGACAAAATATTTAGATGGCTGAAAAACTTTGTTTTATTTAAGCTTTATATTTTCTTTCTGAAAGGTTTTAAGATTGTTGGCATATAGAGTCCATTCATATGGGACTAAAACCATAGTATGTTTATTAATCTTGTCTTAAAATATAAACTTCTCTAAGTTGAAGTTCAAATAAAATCCAGACAAGAAAAGAAAGCAAGATTTTTAATATATCTTTTTGCTATTTTACACCTAGCAATGGCTAGAGATTTGACTCAGCCTGTTATTGTTAGTCTTGGTAATATATATCACTTACATTTAAACAAATGAATATGAATATGATATTTCATGTTTTAATCTGCACCAACAGAATGGATTCTATTGGTTTTCTTGTTGACAATATAAAGTTGTGATTTGATTTCTCATAGATGTTTAACAACATGAGAAAAGTGTGAAAAGACTGAAAAACATGAGTGCCTGTATTCAAAATAGCAGTGTTTTGAGATTGTACCCTTTGAGATTTAAAACTTTTTTCCCCCATTAAGTAGATCAATTTGCTTTCAAACAGAATCAAGCCCTTTGAAAAAGGGTCTTAAATCTACCTGTGGCCTGTGAAATTTCTCCTTTGAAACAGGTTGGTTTTAGAATGTGATTCTTCTGAATCTGCAGCAGCTCCTCCAGGTACCCTAGAATCTGTGAGCATCTTCCTACAATTTATGCAAAGTACCTTGCAGAGGCTCCTGGCTATAAGTAAACCAAGAGGCTCAACAATAGTAATAGAAGCCTAGTGAAAGGGTGACTTGTATCCTAGACTGTAGCTTTACGTAAACCACAGTGGAAGTGTTCTGTCACACTGTCAAGGGATTGCTGGAGCGGTCCTCCAGGGTAACAAGCACTTTGAAACCGTCCTGTGAAGAATATAGGATGGTTATGTGGAGAAGCATAAGGGAACAGGATATCCTGTTAGCAAGTTCCATCAAATCCTGACTCTGTCTCTCATTGACTACGTGCTCTTTGGCAGGTTACCTCCTCTGGCTTGGCCTCAGTTGCCTCATCTGCACAGTGAAGACAGGCATAGGACCTAGACACCATTTCACTGGGTGGCTGTGCTGATTCAGTGAATAGATACAGGTCAACTCTTTGAGAAGCACACTAGCCATGCATCCAGAGACTGGGAATACTATTATTATTACTATTTTTACTGTTATTTCAGAGGACATTTATATGGCCTGGAGTAGGAAGCAGGTAGGAAGCAGATGAGGCAAGCGAGGCTGCTGAGGAGGCTCTGAGACTTGCTCACAGGTATCCCTTTATAGCTTCAGATATTGATGAATACCAGGATCCTGGCTCTGCTTTCATTCCTACCTTGGTCCTGTTTTAATGTTCACCAACCCATTTCCAGACATGGGTTCTTTTATCTTTTTTTTTTTTTTGATACCAGGGATTGAACTCAGGGGCACCCCTTCACTGAGTCACATCCCCAACACTATTTTGTATTTTATTTAGAGACAGAGTCCCCTTGAGTTGCTTGGTGCCTCACTTTTGTTGAGGCTGGCTTGAACTTGTGATTCTCCTGCCTCAGCTTCCCAAGCCATCCCAGGGGCTTACAGGCATGTACCACCACACCCAGCCAGACACTGGTTCTTGATGTAACAAATTAGAATTAGCCATTTACCATTTGTCAGAGTGCTAAGGACAAGTAGAGCTGTCCCAGCCCCCAGCTTCAGGAAGCACACAGTCTGCAGTGACATCCTTCCTTGGTGCTAACCCTGTCTTCACATTCAACTCCAGCCCAGCTTGCAGCCCCACATCTCATTTACTCCTTTCTATAGCCACATGAAGGAGGAAGGGGGATTAGAAGTAGAACTTGAAAGATGGCACTTCTCCATAACATTGGACTTCTCTTCTGTTCCTCAAGTCACCTTTCCATTTTTGCCAAACACGGCTGCACACTTGGAGGCAAGAGGCCATTTCCTCTTGACAGTCACTTTTAACCTACTCATCTGGTATATCCACAGTGCCCAGTGGATATGAAGATGGCTCCTACCTGTGCAAAGTTGGTGTTCTGAAACAAAGCCAAAAAGACACTAAATCCACAAAGACACATGAATGTTTGGAAAGTAGCTTAGTTATTTCAATTTGCTCTTCATTGATTTCTCCTCCTCCCATCACACACAAACACATACACACATTCACGCATGCCCTTTCAGTCCTCTCTTTCCCTGTGCAGGGATCACATGTTGCACTATCACTCACAAGCAACTCTCTGTTTCTAGATATTGATGAATGCCGGGAAATCCCAGGAGTCTGTGAAAATGGTGTGTGCATCAACATGGTTGGCAGCTTCAGATGTGAATGTCCAGTGGGGTTCTTCTATAATGACAAGTTGTTGGTTTGTGAAGGTAAGTGGCATTGTAACTATGTCATATCCAGCAATGAGCCAGCTGATGAGCTTCTTAAACACACCCTCACCAAACTTCATAACTTGAAATTTCAGAAGTGCTTCAAACTCTAAGTATAGTGAAGGGCATGGTGTGGAACAACTTGAAGTTTCATGCAAAAACCTCTCTAACTCCCAGTGGAAAAGCCAGGATGTGCATTCCGCAGCCCCCTCCCCCAAGACACAATGTATTAGATTTCCTGACTGATATGAAAAATCTTTTGGGTTCCTGGGTGTGTCACATAGATTTCTTTTGTTTCACATTGCTTGAAAGTAAACATCAGTGGACAGTCATCTTTACTTGAATCTTAAAGTCAGTGTTCTCTTCCAACAAATGGAGACTTTGCTACTCCCAAGTGAAAACAAGGTTAGTGCAAATATTCCAAATGCATGAGAGAATTCCAAATGGCAAGGACAGCAAATTTGATTTTATATGAAAAATGTTGGCATGCATGCAAAAGGTACTTTTTTTCATTTTCATATTACCTCCTATTGCTGTGTACACACACACACACACACACACACACACACACTCTCATATGTTATGAGTCTAAACATTCCTTATAGCACTTCATATTTCTTCCTACATCTGGGGAAGATAGTATTCTTCTGTATTTTAATAACAGGGAGACATTACTGGATATTAAATATGTGATGTGCCTGAGAATAACTGGAATAATTTTCTATTTAATACTTGAACTTTGGTCCTCTGGTAGAGTATTATGCATTATAGAAAAGGTTATCATCCTCTTAGGGCACATATTATAGCATGTGTCAACATTTTAATATTTAAAAAAACATTTGGTTTTCTAAACTAAAGATGATTTATATACCACAGGGAAAGTTCTAGTTTGTTAGTAACCACATACCTGTTAAGTTTTCTTAACAAGTGTTTAAGAGAACTTTGCACATGTCACTTCCCTGTCTGCTGTGTTGGTTGTGAGAATGGGGGTGACAGCCATTCAGAACACCTCTAAAGAGATTGCCAGTGCAGACCTTGGTCCCAGTCCCCACCTTCTGGAGGTCATCCAAGACCAGGTTCCTGGAGAGGAAACATGGACACTGGAGAGGAGAAAGGAGGCCATGGCAATGATCTTATAGTGCTGGAGATGGCCGTCTTCCTTTTGGTCATATTCTTTCCCCCTGGTACTTACCCCACCAGGATGTTTGTCAATTTCTCATGGCATTTCCTCTTCCCTTCCATTCAGAGGTCTCTTGGGTGATTACCTTGGTACCTCTTCACTACTTATATATGCTAAAGCAGCAGCCATTGGCCAGAGTCAACCTAGACCTTGCAACATACATGAGTTGCAAATACCATTTGTCAGAGTGCAAAGGACAAGTAGAGCTGTCACCTTGCTGTCAGGGTAGCATTTAGTGGCCAATAAGATGACTGAGGGCTCCAATTTTTGGTTTCATACGCTCTTCTTCTTCCATGTGAAAAACTAATCAGGCTCAGCTGCTTCCCAACACTCTTAGCTCTCGGAAACACACTCTTAGCAAATCGGAAAATGAAGGTTGATTTAATACATGCCTCAGTAGCACTGAAACTGGAATGGATTCTGGAAGTGGTTTAGGGAGCTTCCATATGTCTGCTCTCCCCACGTATGTGTTTGATCAGACTTTAGGCTGATGCATCACAAAAGTGCTTGTCCATGACACTGTTTGGCTTCTCCAGTGGCTTCTCCTCTGTGTTTCTTTATGGTCTTGGTTAAGATCAGGGCAGGCCTCGTGAGTGAGGTGGTGTTGGGTCCATCATAACAAGGCAGCATACTTTTGCTCTATCTCTTGCATGGAAAGGCATTATCCACCCCACCTCTCATAGGAACTCCCACTCACTGAAGTTCATACTAATGGTCCTGCAGTTCTCCCACCACAGAAACACACACCTGAGAGGCATCTGCTGATGCATTTGCCACCTGCTGGTAGGACTTCTTTGACTGAGTCCACTTCTGTGTGAAAACCCAAAACTGGTGCTAAGGACTTCTCACCAGTGTTCCAGATATTTCCTTTACTGGACATAGACAACTAGATCATTCTGTTGAAGCAGGAGAGAGGGGAGCATGTATTTTGCCCCATGAGTTGTGCAATAACTTTTGTGATGTCATGAAATTGAACTATATCAGGTATCTGGGGTTTTTGTTGTTTAAACAAGTGTTTAAGAGAAATTCGCACATGTCACTTCCCTGCCTGTTGTGTTTGTTGTGGACAAATGGGAATTGGGGTGAAAGCCATTCAGAACACTTCTAAAGAGATAGCCAATACAGACATTGGTCCCAGTTTAAAAAAATAAAATAAAATAAAAGCAGGCAAATAACTCCTGAGCAAAGTAAAAGCTCTAGAACACATGATATTCATTTTATTCTTTGCTTTGATATTGAGAGTTGGATTGTTTTCAGTAGTTTTATGTGCAATCTCCCGTGTTTGCTTTCTTGATTGGACTGCCTTGTGGCAGTAATTTAAGCAGCAGTCTCTGTAACCCTGCAGCTGGAAGGCAGGAAGCACCCCAGTCACCTGGGCGCTTACTAGAAATACAGACTCTGGGACCATTCTCCAGATGTGTTGAGTTAGAATCTGCTTTTTAACAAGATCCCAAGTAATTCATATGGACATTAAAGTTTGAAATGCTCTGCAGATCTTACACCCTTCCAGACCAAAGCAGCCCTGTTGAATCATAAAATCTTGGGGATCATTAGACTATACCTATATCAAGTCCTGGCCTTAAAAAGCTGAGTTTCAGACTTAGCTTTTTGTTTGTTTTTGTTTTTGCTGGGGATTGATCCCAGGGCCTGTGCATACTAGGCAGGCATGCCATTATTGACCTGTATCCCTAACCCCAAATGACTTTTTTTGTTTTAAAGATATGAGCATCATCAGAGTCCATGTGTAATTATTATCAAGAAATTGCCTATATGAATGATAATACTGAAGTAGAAAAGCTCTGGAGTTTTTAGATAATGGGTTTTCAGTCTTCTGTTTTTTAAAAAGTAAACTTTATTTTCTAGGGTAGTTTTAGGTTCACAATAAAATTGAGAAGAAAGTGCAGAGATTTTTCATATACCCACAGCCCTATACATGCATAGTTTCTTCCATTATCTACAACCTCCTTGCATTTGTTATAATCAATAAGCCTATACCGACGTGTCCTTATCACCCATAGTTCACAGTTCACTGTTGCTATTGTAGATTCTGTGAGTTTGAATACATTTGTAATGCCACATATCTATCAGTATAGTATGATAGCATAGTTTTGCTGCCCTGATACTTCCCATGCTCTGCCTGTTCATCCCTCTCTCCTTCCTAACTATTGGAAACTACTTTGTCCTATTTACTGTCTCCACAGTTTCCTCTTTTCTAGAATGTCTTGTACTTGAAATCATGTACTATATAACCTGTTCAAATTGTCTTCTCTCTCTTATAGTAACATGCATTTAAGTTTCTTCCATAACTTTTCATGGCTTGATAGCTCATTGTTTTTTTAGAAATTTAGACTATTCATTAATATTCCATCTAGATGTACCACAGTTTACTTATCATACATTCACCTCAGAAAGTCATTTTGGTTGCTTCCAAGTTCTAGCAATTATGAATAAATGTGCTATGAAACATCCATATTGACTTTTCAGTAGATCAGATGTAAGTAAGACTGCATTGCCTGGACGCCATATTCTGTGCTCTTTGGCATTACATTCTCTTCTGCTTGCAGATATTGACGAGTGTCAGAACGGCCCCGTGTGCCAGCGCAGTGCCGAGTGCATCAACACTGCAGGCAGCTACCGCTGCGACTGTAAGCCCGGCTATCGCCTCACGCCCACAGGACAGTGCAATGGTAAGTGGTGCCCCCCGGCCACTCTTATTTCCCTGCAGGTCATCTTCACAAGCCTCTGATAACTAGATTTCTTTTGAGATCTAAGGCTGAAGAATATATGAGATATGATTGAAATAGATAAACTCTAGCAAAATTAGAAAAATGGAAAATTGTCAAAATGTCTAAACTCTTAGCTTTTTCCCACTTTATTGATGAGGTATTTGTAAAACAAGAAGGAGATTGTTTACATAAATACATTTCAGGTTTGCCTATCTACTGTCCCACATGCAAACACCTACCCTTACATATATTCAGTATTCAGGATCAAATTACTTTTTTTACTTCCATACCTTCTCCCTGAGCAGCAGGGGAGGCTTCTCCACCTCATACCCCAATCTTGATTCTCAAGCTGGACCAGATCAACCTGAAGAGAAGCATTACTTGTCTTCCCAAATGTCTTACAGACAAAAGATCACCCACTAACGGCAGAAAACATCAGTAATCTTTTATTAGCTGTAATACACTTATAGTAAATGAAAAACTGTGTTCCCTAGAGATTTGAGTTGTTCATGGTTCACTTTGGTCAAGAATGTGGTAGAAATAAGGATGGGTGCCTTGTCAACTTATATTGATAGTGAATTTGTTCCATGTTTGATGGTATTTTGTAGCCAGTGGCATGAAGCTTAAAACACCGGTGTTTCAAACCAGAAGCAAATTAATACCTCAGAATAATTTTCCTGTAAGTTTTAAAGTAATTATAAATCATTGTATATTTAGCAAAGAGGTCAGGAAAAATGTGTTATTCTGCTTACGGATCATTTCCAAGTGAGTTTCCTGGATATTTTATGCATTTGTGAATGAAACAACTCAAGGGAACATGGTCAGATTTTCCTTGGATTTCCTTGCCTGCCAGTGATTAAGTGGTAGGAAGTGCAGTGCTCTCTGAAGGGTATTTTACATTGTTTTATGAGACCTTGGTGGGAAGCGGGTGTAAGAGCAGAACAAAAAATCACTTTGAGAATCAAGACTTGTTTTGTTGAGTTTAAAGGAACATGTGCAAGTATTTAGCATTTTGTCAACAGAGCTGTTGTTATCCATATTAAAAATACAGGACAGGAAAAGTGGGGACGTCTCTGATATGAACCACAATACCCTCCGTGAAACTTGGCATTGATACCATTTCCCTGCATTTTACTCTTAATTTATATTTCTTTGGAACTGGGTGAAATAATTCCAGTCAAAATAAAGAACTGCTGATAATATAGAATGTGCCATTTCACACCTTTTCATACTTGGGCATGAAATGGGACAGAGCTATTTATACATCAAGGTAAGACATCCAGCCATAGCCTGCTGGGGCTTAAGCCCTTTCACATTTTCTTGAAGAATATTAAAATACATAAAATGCATCTGATTCTATCAGGATAAGTGTAGTGAGTGA